AAACTCAAGGTCGCAAGCGACGGGAAAAAGGGTTTCGAAATTGGCGCGCAGGTTTTGCAGCATTTGCTCATACGGACAGCCAACGCCGCCCTGGTGGTTCAACTAATGTTTTGTTCAAGATGGCCGCCGTGGTACCGCAGCCTTAAAGACCGACCAACGAAACCATTTTCCGCAAGGTAGGAAAATGCCCCTCGCGCCCTCCTCTTTTCACCCTCTCCCAAAAATCACGTGACGGCAGAGGCTTCTTTTGTGTCGGCTTTTTCTGTAGGGATAATCCTCTAAAAGCGCTAAACGAGCGGCTAGCTGCGAGCGCCACAACGACCTTGAGACGTCCAGGTGTCCTCCCTCGTTGACGCGGGCACGCGCAATCCGCAGGATTGAGGAAGCCAGCGCGACCGAACTCTTTTTCCCATGAGCTGCAGGTCCGAGGCCGCTCGGTCGGTGGAGATCGAGGGGTCGTGGTATGCTGGGTTCGTTCCAGCAGCCGCTTTCTGGCATCGCGCGGCTGCTGGAACCATTATCGCGACTGCACACGGATTGGCTTGCCCAATAAAGGGTTCAGGTCGTCGATAATACATTTATTTCCGAAACTTATAAATCAAGTGGCTCTCCCTAATCTCTTCATTACTGTTTGAAACACATCTCCTCTCATAGCTAATTGTTCATCCCATTTTGGACTCTTTTGCGTATTTATTCCTCCTTACGTCTGCTTGATGGCTGTTTTATAACTTGATAAAGACCTTTAAATATTGGCGCGGGCTTGCGCGATCAACGCTGTCCCGGATTTATTCAAAATTGGAAAGATTGGCGTCAGGAGGGGTTGAAGAAGCAAACCGTAATTTTTGCTTCTAATAAGGACGGCACAATCGTAAGATAGGTCTTTGCTTCACCTGTCTCCACAACGCCCCATCGTTTGCAGGATCATAATTTCTCAGTGACATAGGTGTATACCACCTTTTACTCATGGTTACTATAGATGGGGCCCCACAGGCTTTCCCGTTATCAGCGAGTCGACTTTTTAACGACCGGCGACTCTCCTGAGTGAGAATAAATATTATCACCTTCCCACAACATCCACCCCTTAGTAACTTGGATCCGTTCAGAATATAATCCCCTCTAAACGACAATCTCCGCCGCCTGGGAGGAACGTAGGTGGGCGAACGATACGCCTCTGGGTTTTGCGTCACGCCTGCATTTCAAGGGTCAGAATTACTGGTTCCCGACACCAGCACGATTGATGGCCCCGCCTGCGTCTTTGATTGTATATTGATACGGAGAAGAAGGAGAAGAGCGCGACGGCCCGCGGCCGTAGTGCGTTCTGGCTCGCGCTTTGGCGGGCGGGCAATCAGATTAAGAACCTACCGCTGAAAACCACCCCGTGTACATAGTCGAGAACATGATAAGCATCGAATGGGAGTGAACGTAGACATCTAATGATCCGATACAAAGTTTCGCTTGATTCCTAAACGAGTAATGCCATAGCCAAGTACACCTTCACATAAAATTGTTTGACAGAATTAAAGAGAAGATTGTGTGTTTCTTTAAAGAAATTTCGGCCCCCTTCTATCCGGTCGTGGGCGAACCATTCATTTTGTTGCATTTCCACTTCTCCGCTTCCGCAGATTATGAATGTGGTAGGTTTGGTCCAGTGGCTTAGAGCTCACGTTTTGAAAGGAACCGAAAGTAAAAACGGACCAGTACAAGCTGGACTATGCTAGACGCTTGAAGACAGCCTGTCGCAATGGAAATGAACTGCTCTAATGTGGTAAGTCGGGTCACTCGGTTCATAATTTTTCATCCCCTTTTGAAAGGGTCCGAACAAACAAGGAGCCAGGACAAGCTCTGGTTGTCCCGGTTTTTAATGTCCTTTCGGCGCTCCTCAAAACGCACAGTGTTCGGTTTCTAAACGCTGTTTTTATTTTGGCACGGAAATAAGACAAAAATACGTAATAATTTTTCACACCAGTGCAATGCAATACAGACTTCTATTTTCAGCAAGCTGCTTTCCGCCATGCCGCCATGCTTCCATGTCATCCTCCAGGCCTTGAATGTTTGTGCACAGTGATTAAACTATTTACATCTAAAATGACATGCGCTAGAAGTCTGGTACTTTCTTTTAGAAGCAGAATGTTAGTGCACATGAATTCTCCCAGAGTCTTGCCTTCTAATCGCGTGGAAGGAAAATGGAAATATCGCGGGCATGATTCGTGCAGAAGGCTAGATTCAATGGTCGCCCATTATTTCTTCAAACTCCCTGGCAGATTCACAACCATATATCCTGGAGGCCTTTCACCCAGAAGCGAGGTTTTGATAAAATTTCGTTGCTCGGCCGCTTTTTTTTTTTTTTTTTTTTTTTTTTGTAGTGGCGCGAAAAAAAAAAATAGAGAGAGGAAAACAACGGTTCTCGCAAGCTGATTTTTTTCTGTATTTTTTTTGCAATTGCGATATTTTGTAGTGTTTAGGTATGTCTTCGTGGTATAAAACAATTTTACGCGCTTCCCACAAATATTTCATCATCAACGACAGTTTTAAAGTATTACGCACTGCCTCGGGTGCTTTGACCTTACGCACTAGAGCGTCACAGGAGCGAGTATTTCCGCAAAATAAATACGAGGACCTATTTCTCCCTTTGAATCGACCACTTTGTGGCATCACTACGAACACACATTCACCATGAAGTTGTAACAAATAATGATTGATGATGAAATTGATTGGGTCCCAACAGAAGAGCATTTAGGTTGCAAATAAACAGGGCGTCGTTGATGTTATGTGTTTACTTCCACGTTCGAATGTGTTGAGAATGAGTAGCCGAAAAGCGCAGTCTGCAGGCTGCTTCCCGGAGTTGCCTGATATTTCCCCAACTCGGGAAAGGGGGGGGGGGGGGGGGGGGGGGAGAAAGGGGGGAATGTTGTGGGAAGGTGATATTTATTCTCACTCAGGAGAGTCGCCGGTCGTTAAAAAGTCGACTCGCTGATAACGGGAAAGCCTGTGGGGCCCCATCTATAGTAACCATGAGTAAAAGGTGGTATACACCTATGTCACTGAGAAATTATGATCGTGCAAATCATGGGGCGTTGTGGAGACAGGTGAAGCAAAGACCTATCTTACGATTGTGCCGTCCTCATTAGAAGCAAAAATTACGGTTTGCTTCTTCAACCCCTCCTGACGCCAATCTTTCCAATTTTGAATAAATCCGGGACAGCGTTGATCGCGCAAGCCCGCGCCAATATTTAAAGGTCTTTATCAAGTTATAAAACAGTCATCAAGCAGACGTAAGGAGGAATAAATACGCAAAAGAGTCCGAAATGGGATGAACAATTAGCTATGAGAGGAGATGTGTTTGAAACAGTAATGAAGAGATTAGGGAAAGCCACTTGATTTACAAGTTGCGGAAATAAATGTATTATCGACGACCTGAACCCTTTATTGGGCAAGCCAATCCGTGTGCAGTCGCGATAATGGTTCCAGCAGCCGCGCGATGCCAGAAAGCGGCTGCTGGAACGAACCCAGCATACCACGACCCCTCGATCTCCACCGACCGAGCGGCCTCGGACCTGCAGCTCATGGGAAAAAGAGTTCGGTCGCGCTGGCTTCCTCAATCCTGCGGATTGCGCGTGCCCGCGTCAACGAGGGAGGACTCCTGGACGTCTCAAGGTCGTTGTGGCGCTCGCAGCTAGCCGCTCGTTTCGCGCTTTTAGAGGATTATCCCTACAGAAAAAGCCTACACAAAAGAAGCCTCTGCCGTCACGTGATTTTTGGGAAAGGGCGAAAAGAGGAGGGCGCGAGGGGCATTTTCCTACCTTGCGGAAAATGGTTTCGTTGGTCGGTCTTTAAACGATTTTTTCAAGCAAAAGACGAAGATTCCTCGCAAGACCGGGACGGCACTGACGGCAGTCCCGTTCCGGAAACCCCCTTGTCTCTACCAAGGCGGCGGTATAACCTGCAATGTCGGTGACACCAAAAAAAAAGGAACCTTTTTTTTTTTTTTTTTGTCTCCTTGGTTTTTTTCGCATTTTTGGGGGCAATTTTTTACTTCCACGGATCTGCCCCCTTCTCAAGAGAGGGGGGAGAAGATTGTGTACCCACCTCAGATTCGTTATTTCAAACTTTCTGGAAGGGGTGCGAAGATAACGTCAGGCTCAGCCCTCAAGTGAGCCCCATGTCGTCTGCTTCCTTGTTTTTCTACGAAGCTGGCCCATGGACAACACCGTCGCCACAGCCGCCATTGGGACACGGCGGCCGATCTCATGGTGGACTGGGCCACCAAGGACGTCGGCGCACCAGGGGCGGCCCAGGGAACCATGGACCGCCACCACCCTCTACAGGGTGGAGCGGCAGCTGGCTCGGATCAAGAACCACATGGAGAGCAGCCACCTGCTGGAGACAGTCCAGAGCAACAAGGTGGCCGCCAGTCGAGCCTTGAGCAAGGAGCTCAAACGGCAAGCTGGAGCTGGCCGAACCGCTGCTCTTACGCATAGCACGCGTCCACCAACTTGGCGAGCGTGACCTCCAACGGGCCATCGTGCTCGTTCACCAGGGGCCGGTCGGACTCGCAACGCCAGTCCGCCCAGCAGCGCCATCCACCCCGAGACCCACGGCAACGTCTCGCTCATCGACGTGCCGGACGAAGCTTGAGAGGGGGGAAGTGTGGGCACCCTGGCTGCTCCCCAGCCCAGTTGCCCGACTGCGAGGCAACGGTGCTGAACTTTTCCCGCATGGCGGCGACATCACGCCAGCCACGAGCACATCGCGTGCGCCGCCTTGATAAGGAGCATCAGAGGCGGCGCACAGGGAGTCGCTGCCTTGACTCCGGCAGCGCCGGTAACAATGTTAATAGTCTTGTCCATGTCCAATTAAATGCAGTTTCTTGTTGTTGAAACCGTTGGCTCCGTGTTATTCCTCCGGGTCGGGTATGCAGCAAGGCAAACCGACCACAGAACATAGCCAGGAACATGACATAAAGGCTACTTATTGGAAACTTCTTTGGTTCATCCATACATTTATTCACTTCTCAGTTCCGGTTTCTCCACCAATCTTGTCGGCATGAAGACATTCGTGGCAAACTTTACACTTGACTGCTCTGCTGCCAGAAAACTTGCTGTGGTACCTGCATGCCTAGTAATTAGTGGATAAATGCACTGTGCCTATAGGTGGCGAACACCTATACCATGAAAACAGTGTTGCGGAGTTGCCACTCCGAAGTCTGAATGATTCCACAATCATTCTGTGACTCCGGAATAGAGTGGATTGGCGGCAGCACTGAGAAAAATTAGAAAGGAATTGGTTGCATCTTGCCAAGAATGGAGCAAGGATGAAATGTGTTCTTATGCAAGCTGTGTCGATGCGGTCAAAGGGACTTTTGAGACGGCATCATTGCACTCTAGGTAACTGACGGCTTAGTTATCTGACCGGCTCGCGTTCCTTCCAAGGTTGAAAATCGCACCCCACTGAAGCAATTAAAACTAGGGTTGTAAGCAGACAAGGTCTCATTCGTGGTGCCATGAGACTCAGCAATGTGACTTGTGACCATGTGCAAATAGAGCACCAGGTATGAACAATGCCACAGTTCCCGTGTTTCTTTGACGCACGACTCCTCATTTGCCATATATCTCCTAGAAGTGGTTTATATATAACATCCTTTTCTGAAGAAAATGGGTGGTTTGAAGTTTTTCTGTCTGTTAAGGCTTTTTGCTGTACTATTATACCAATGCGCCAAGAAACTAATGGAGAGGAAGAGACGAGAGCACGGGGATGTCAGAATGCTGAGCTCTGGTTCGAATAATTAGTGGGTAGACGTATAGGCCAACGCACTGTCTACAAACAAGCCCACACAAAGTGCGGGCAAATGCACAGAAACTAGGTTTGCATGAAGTGGAGCATTTGTGCATGCGCCCTGCCAGTAGCAACGCCACTACAGCAGCATGACATCAGGGATGCGTGTTAGTGTATAGCTAGCTGTTTTTGTCTCCACTGCACTGAACAAACGCGCTAGAACGCCGGCATCTGGCGTTAGGTCCTCGCATTCGAGCGTGTTTAACTGCAGTGCGGAGACAACGGTCTACCCACTAATCATTCGAAGGATCGGTCCATGTTGCGACGTGCTCTCGTTTCCCTCAGTTTTTCGACGCATTGCCATCAGTGCCATGTGCAACTACCGCCTAATAGTGCCTTCGGAACTTTATTTTTTTTTTGCATATTTTTGCAGTTGTCTATGCCTTTTATAACGTCAGCTTTTTACTGACATTATTTGCCGGCAACTTAACCCCTTTGACACCCAAAAGATTACTGGAAATAGTGGAGACCTAGAAACCCTGACATGGTTTAGCACACACAAAATAAGAGAAATCTTGTCTTAGAAAAAAGAGTTACCTTTTTTGTCATTTTTTTTCAAAACATTGCTTGTGAGCAACATTTCGAAACCCAGTGTTTCCCTTCTTAGGAGTTCAAAGATATAAAATTATTGGAAAATTCAATTCTGTGGAATGTATTTGGAATGAAAAGGGGGTGCTCATTCCGCAACACTGATGAAAATCCCTACATGTGGCCCAAGACCTTTGTGCAGTCCACAATTTGAACCATCCATTTATTTTGCAGGTTATACTGTTATGCTAAATAAACAATCCACAGGCAAGCAGAAACTCCACTGTGATAACCGCATTGTGTCCGCCTCATGGGAGACGTGCTCCATAGCAGCTGGGATCTGCCAAAAGGCTGCACGTGATCATGATCTAGCTCCCATAAGCCAGCTTGGGAATGTGCAAGAAAATTGGGTGATGCTGAAGCAAATGCCGAGATAAACAAGGAATTGGCAGCAAATGCACTAATCTTTATTCTCTCACATAGGCAGCATGCCTGTGAAGCAGGCATGCTGTTATCATTGCATGCATGCTGCAACTACAAACTGGTAGAAAATCGAATTTGTACTCACAACTTTTGTTCCTTTCCAAGTACTGCATTGAAAAAAAGAGACACGGGCATCTGAAGCCGTCGCAAGACGTCCGATTTTCGAGTGAGAAGTGGTCCTGAAAAGGACCGTTGTTTTTTCTCTCTGTGTGACGGTGATGGACCTCTTGGATCTGGTGTACCTGGTGACGGCCTTGGTGCCCTCGGCCACGGTGTGCCTAGCCAGCTCACCCAGCAGCAGCGGCTGCACGGCCATCTGGTTCTCGCGGCTCGCGATGGTTGAGCGCTTGTAGTGGGCCACGGCAGGAGACCTCAGCCTCAATATGCTCAAAGGCGTCGTTCATGAAGCTGTTCATGGTCCACATGGCCCCGCTTGACGCGTCGGTGTCTGGGTGGAACAGCTTGAGCCCCTTGTAGGTGTAGATGCCGAGACTACTTCCTCCTGTGCTGCTGCTTGTCAGTGGTGCACACATTCTTCTGTGCCTTGCCAGCCTTCTTGACGGCCTTTCAGCTCATCTGAGGATGCGTCCTGCACGTTCAAATAAGCAGACTGATTGAAGAAACGAATGAACAAGTGCAAGCGCAATAAACCTAAATCTTCTGTTTTTGATAGCGTACTGAACTGTTGCCGGCATCCACAAAAGCACTCAGCGAGACAGTGCGTGCACTCTCATTTGTGCCATCCTGCTGATCAACCGTGAAGCTGCCCATCTTGCTAAAACAAGATAGCTTAGCGGACCCCAGATTCATTTGCAAGCTTCAGTACTCGTTCATTCTCTCTTCAAACACACAGCAGCACAACACCAAGAACAGGAGGTGTGTGCAATACAAAGCAGTGGGGTAGAGCAACAGTTTGGAGCATTCACCTCATAAAGGGCCTGCTGTCCCTCTGCTGTAACGTGACATCCTCTGTTCCACCAGCTGCTTCTTTGGGAGCCTTGGGCAGTGAGCTGCCATGGGGAGGGGGGCCCGATCCCGGGGTCTGTTGCCCAAGGCTTCCCTGAGGGAAGACTCATTGCAGCAGGCAGCAGCCTCAGACAGCAGCTGGCCCACGTACGCTGTAATTAGGGCAAGCACAGAAAAAGGATGTTAACCATCACATATGTCAAGGAACTAAAAGCGTCTTTGCAGCACTTAGATTGTCTCGGAATGACTGTCCAGCAGGTAGTATTTACGGTGCCAACAAAATTATATGAGCCTCACCGTAGGTTGGAGGGGTTTTTACTTCCTTGAGACGATCGGTCCTCATCTTCCCTCTCTGCATCCTTCGCTTGAATTTCGGCTGCCCTTTGCGCGTCACCGCTTGGACCCTTCCGGAGTTTTCGTTGTGGTGCAGAGCAGGCAATCTGGTTCTGAAGCAGAAATATTGTCCGCAGTGAAAAGCATTCATGGGGACCTGCTAGAAAAAACAATCGACTTGCATATGTGCCTAATTAGTTTACAGAAAACAAACCTTGCATGCATGATGGGGCCTGTGAACGCCACAGACTTGGGTGCAAACCTGATGAGCATACTATGGTAGGACTCGAGGTTGTATGTGTGGCCTGCAGGTGACACGTGCTCCAAGTACCTCAGGAGCACTTTTTGCATGGTAATGCTGACAAATGTACCTGGAATCATGATTACACACTATGTAGCTTCTATTTTTTTTTACTTAAATGTGCAAATGTACCAAATTCGCTCAGAGAAAAGTAGAGTTAGGTTTTCAGTGTGATTGTCTACTGACCTAGAGAGAGCCACTCTCTGTCCCCAACGAGGGTGTCGTGAACACAGCGGTCGTACACCCCTCCATGGCCAGTGTGCTTGTCGAGAGCATGGTTGTTTATGCCTGAAATACAAGGTTCATTTTTTAGAACAATGCAAACAGTTTGTGAACTTACGAAACAACTTTCATGCGTGACAGCATGCCTGTAACCTTTGCCGTATGCCTAACACGTTGCCGTCTACATGACAGAGACCAGTCTTTCAGGTCTTGAGATGTCCCACGTAAGCAAAATCGTAGCATCACGGGGACATGTCGACCTGATCAAAATATGTCGACAGTTCCGCATTCGAGCCAAACAATTATGCAGGAATTATTTGCTCTATGTCATTCTGCACTGGATCATAGATACCTAAATTGATACTCATTTGTGTTGTAGTGCACCTGCTAGCCCGTCAAATGTCTGCAATTGGGTTCTGTTATCTATTTTGACTGGTAGACTTGCTGATACAGGCATGTTTCAACTGTAACCCCCTTTGTTATGATATTGCCTAGACTTGTGCAAATATTCAAAACAAATGGGGCTGGATATTTGGCTACTTCGAACATTTTTGAAGTTTGAGAATGCTGCAGGATATATTTTTATTCATTTAAAAAGCAAGGAAAACATTAAACAAAATATGACATGGATATATGCCTGTATACAGTCTAAGCTCGTTACGTTATAACAGACCTTGATTTTGACCAAGATTTCGGTCTGTTATAAGAGGAGTGTGTTGTATGCAGATATGAAGCGGAGTCAATGGTATGTAGAGGAAAACGAACCAAACTTCACAATCCCTATGTTATATCCAAATGTCTGTTGTAACCAGGTCTATTGCAATGAGCTTAGACTGTATGTCCAGTGTTTTCTTGTGCCATTATTCCATAAAAATAGAGGTAAACCTATAATGGTAACTAGACTTGATCTGCAAAATTTTTCAGTGCAACAACCAAATTCAGATACTTTCCTGTAATGTTTCTGACTAAAGTGGTAAAGCTTTTGGCACGTGGTACTAACGCAAGGGCTATGACATGTAGGCACATGTGGTTTAGATGATAGTCATGTACAATGTTATCAAAGGAAGTTGACTTGGTATTAAGCAGCCGCCATCTTGCCTTTTTGTGTAATATTTCCCTGCAACGTTTTAGCTTGTTGCTGCTGACACCATTGCCGTCTTGGCAATAACCCTCCGTGGCACTGAGATTTTGTTTTAGTCTTGAGAGCGCAAAGTTAAAGGTTCAAACCATCTCTGGTTCATGCCCACGGAGTCTTTGGGGCATCACTTATATCCTAAGTTGCTTTGTGACGTTGAATTCTTGTAATACTGCCATAATAGTGTACTGAAGAATCAATAAAGTAAAGAATAGCAGGTCTACATTTCATCTGTTCATTTCCTTGACAGCTTTGAAACATACATTGGAAAAGACTGCTAAACAATCCTTTCTTCACTGGAAGTCCTACATTAGATTTTTTTTTTTACTTCCACATCCTTGTACAAGTATTTGGTTTGATTCAAAATTATTCTTGCAAAATAAATACTATTACCTTTGTGCTCACTTCGAAGTGAAAATTCTCTACCTGGGCACTTCTGTATATAATAGGACTGAATATTGACAAATAATTGACTCACTCTTCCACATCTCGACGAGGAGTTTTCCATCCTCTTCGCAGTTGGCAGCATACCAGTACAGATGGTTGGAGGCAGGCTGTGCCCAGTATGCCAACACTTCACACCGTGCGTACTTGCTGGCCTTCAGCATCTTTTTGCTTATGTTTGGAAAAACAGTTAAAAAAAAAAAACTATAATCAGTACACATATTGCACCTTACTTCAGACTTGTAGACCGACTAACATAAGGACTGCAATATGACGCTAAATCAGACTAAGCTGATGATAGTCAGGGTTGGGCACCTTTTGCAATGTGCCAAGCATCGAAGTAATGGCGTGTCTGGGGTTCTTTGCTCCTCATGTGGCCCTTGATCCCTAGGTGACGGTCAGTGACGAGGGCCTCGACCGTGACATCTTCCTCCTTGAAAAAAGTGAGCTCCTTGGCACAGCCATGCAGCTCCATTGCTGGACTTCACCCCGGGGGACTGTAAGAGAAAAAAGCAGTTGCTCGTGTTTAAGGACTTGAGCACTGACTGCTGAATGAAGCAAAATGTATGGCCTGTATGTAGGTATGAAACAGTCCATCCTAAATTTCCACACAGACTATTCATGAGCAAAGCTATAACACTATAATAAGGAAGCTCTGGCTTTTGTAGGGCACTTTGTATGCATATTGGCACATGCAGCTTGAGTGATGTCAGCGTCAATGCATAGATGAACTGGTAGTATATCGCTATCCTTTAACTATTTCCTATAGCTCGGAGCAAGTAGACACTCTTTTTATCTACCTAGTCAGTGCTACACACAAAGTGAAGCCTTACTCTTGCAGTAACAAGCAACATCAATCTTCTAACCCTCCAGGAAGCGTGCAAAACTTGCCTCTCCAAGCTGCACTTGGACATAGTGGAGGATCTTGTTTGTCTCCATCTCCATGAAGGTGTATGTCATGAATTTGGCCGAGTACCCTGGAGAGTCGTACCTCCCGTCCCCAGCCAAACGCACAGTCTTCCCCTGTCTCGCTTGGAGAAGGCTCTGCTGCTCTCGGTTCAACACCTGAAAAAGGGTTCGGAGAACGTTTTTCGAATTTAGGCTAGGCCGATGAGTTTCATTCCACATTCTTGAGCTCTTTCTATTGTTTATTAATAAATTTCTCAATAGCTGCTGTACCCATTACTGAGGGGATTGTAATGACGACAATGAGAATGTGCTGCCCAAAAAATGTTAAAGGGCACGAGAAAGAGAGCGATTATGCAATGAAACTCACTCGTTCAATTGCAGGCTGCAGGAATGCTGCCTGGTGATTGAAGTATGTGCTTTCCGAGAAGGCTTGAATGTTGATGAGCCTTAGCAGCCTGAGCACCTTTGCAGAGCAGGAGCCGGTGAACAGCATGGCACCGGAGAGGAGCAGGTTGCAGGCTGGCACGTTGCTGATGAGAGGCTGGCTGAGCCAAGTCCTGCTGTGTTCACTTTGGCACACAGCCGTGGCCCTCACTAGTGTGCCGTCTGGTACAATAGTAACTTTACATGGCGCTTGGCACATTATGCATAGGCGGAGCAACCGCAATAAACAGCTCTCAAACACGATGTAGGTACTTGGGCTCCTCGTGCAGGGGGGCCGTTGAGGTCGAGTTGCTGCAAAAAGTATATTCTCGGGGTTATTCGAAGACTTGATGGGCAAATGGGCAACCTTATCAATTTTCATGCACTCCTCTTCTACTTTTGGCACAGCATATATTCAGGCAACTAAGTGGCATCTCAGTATTTTAACAGCCGAATTCACAAACCTCGCTCCAATTGGGGCGTCCCTCCACTTCCTCGAGGAAGGCGCGAGGGCCAGTGCTGGCCTTAGCACCTTCAACGTAGAAATGGAGGGGTGCCACAAATGGAGTGAGGTTCGTGAATTTGGCGGTAGGGCTTTGTTTGCCTATTGCTCTTCAGATGCATGTTTGTTCAGAAATATATCATATCTGTAATTGGTGTTTTTCCTTCGACTTCTACAAAAGTGGCGTCTACAAGTAATTATGGTGGAAGAAATGGGGGCTTAGATTCTCTCCAGAAAAAGGCAGTGGAGTGTTTACACAAGGAAATAAAGCTTCAAAGTGAGGCTACATCAATAAGATGTAGTGCAGTTACGGAGAGCTGAGCCAGCAAGCGCAAAAACGAACAACTGCACATGGATGGGCTCAAGTGAAGGCACACTACTGTGGAAATAGCAGTCAGTGGTGTATTACCTCAAGAAGCTCTCGTCCCAAGAAGCCTCGTACGTAGTGTCTGCAGGTTCTTCTGGAATAGGGCTCGAGCACATGCCTGGTCTTTCGAAAGAGAGATCGGCCTCCAGAAATGGCTGGCTTGTCGGCCGGTACAATGGGGCAACCTGCTCTGTGGCAAAGTCTTCGCATGCTGGCATTTCAACTGCTGCTGGCACAGGCACTTGCTACATAGCAACTGGAGCAGGATCCCTACGCAGAAAAACAGTCGTAGGCTGGCACGCTGGTGTCTCAACTGCTGGTGATGGAGGCACTTGCTTCATGATGGCTGGAGCAGCACTTGTACACGGAAGAACAGCTGGAGACTCCCATGGGTCTGTCTGCGTCTCCTTCGACTGCTTGGCGGACAAGTTCACCTGTGTGCCTGGAATGTTATCGGTACATTGTACTGTGGTTGCTCCCCTGGCTTGTTCAGAATTTTCGGCACATGGTGGCTTTTCACTTGGCCTATGAGAATCTATGATGCATTCGGTGGCTGTCGTAGCCGTGGAGATTTTCCGTTACATTACTCGGTGCTTTACGATATGTTGCTTTGTCGAAATATCTAGAATAATTGCACATGAGTTCTTAACAGTTGCTACTACTTCATTTACTGTATATAACCAAATCAAAAAGAATTCCCCAACATATTTTATCGATATTCTCTGATAACCAAATTAGCTTTTCAGGTCCTACTATGCCACACTGCTCGGTTTACAGGACTTGCAGATAAAGTAAACTTGGATTGAATTGTGAAAGGTCTCTTGAAGTCACCCTTTCACCTTCCTACAGCTAATTCCTGTTCTCTATGGGGTCATTAGCAAGAACTGAGGTACAACAAGCACTTCCTGATTTCCTGTCCCTTGCTGGTCTAGCATCACGGCTCTAGAACACACTCTCCTTCTCACCTGTCCCTCTCTCATTTCCCTTCCCGACAAAATTAAATGGATCGTCCCTTCATTAAGACTAACTTATCATAGTGCAACATTGCCCTAATTCCTTTTGTTACCATTTATTAAGTATCGCCACCTGCACAATCACAAGAAGAGCGTGACATATAGCAGGGGTGGCCAACCTGCGGCCCCGCATGCGGCTCTTTGCGTGTTAAAGTGCGGCTTGCAGCTCCTTCCCTTACCCTCCCCCCTTTCCTTGCCTTGCTCCCGGTCGCACGAGGACTTCCCCAAAAGGAGAAATGAACCGCGTTTTAAATCGAAAGACAGGTGGCGGTTTGGTAGTCTTGTGTTACTACCACCTTACGTACAGTTGAACTGCTTTTGACCAGGCTAGATACAAAGTAATTTGAGTTATATTGCTCTGAACAAAAGTTCCCCCCCCCTCCCCCGCGGCTATTGGAAGTCTCATGGCTTTGTTTGCGGCTCTTAGACTGGGTCAGCCTGGCCACCCCTGACATATAGCGTGCTTATTGAAGCAAAAAAGGTGTGATAAAGCCCTGTCCTCACAGTGTCATGGAAATGCTAATTGGAACACTGAAAATATTAAAATGTCTCATTAGAGCTTGTTTTCTACAAAAATTAAAAACTGCACATGGTACATGCCACGAGATACAGACTGTACGACGGGCTGAATACATGAATGAGCTTGAGTGCATCTCAACTAGGATGAAATCTCGCAAGTCCTTACCTTTGTTTTCGTACTGAACTTCAATGCTGTAGGTGTGGTCGGCAGACGTGGCAGTTCTGATGGAATACCCATGATCTTCGGTAGAAGCGAGCTGAAGTTCCTGCAAAATAGCCGAAAATGTGTTCACAGTGATGTTTCTTTGATTTTCAAGCTCATAGTTGGTGCTTAGCCTTACACCTGCCTGACTCACAAAGACCTTGTGTACTTGCATAAATTTCCAGACGTTTTTGTAAACAGGTTGCAAAATAAGGGCATGTGCATGGCAGTGGAACTTCTAAACAAAAGTTGCTCGGAAAGTTATGACCCACACTTTTTTTTTTCTTGTCCTAAAATAAAGATAGTGACTAAAAGTCCTTTCTCGCTCCCCGAGGGTGGCATGAAACATTGAATTCTTTAGAAATTAAGAAGCTAAAGCCACATTGCGAACCGTCGTTTCACAAACCACAGCTGTTTAGAGAAGTGGATGGCTTATAAATTCCGCACAAAACATGGTGGTGGCCGTGCTGTATTCTCGGTGTGCTCGGTTTTCTTATTCTCCTCGGCCACCACCCTCATACTCTTCATTTTAGCTGTGGTTCATGCGGCCGCAACTTGGACTGCTTTGATCAGACATTCATCTCTGGCCGCCACTTTAACCACACACTCACCCCGACGCTGTGCAATTCGGCATCATATTCTCTGCTTTAACGTCCGCAGTTATGGTGACATACTGAGCCCATTTGTGAGATTATTTACGTGAACTGGATCTTATGTTTTGATGTAAAATGTATTATGTGAAAGACATACTTCCAGGACGCCAGAACTACGCACATACAGATTGCCGTCGCATGCACATTGCATAGAGTGATACGGCTGGGGTGCACTTGTTTCTTACCGATGTCAAGTAGTAAAAGAATGAGTAGATTATTTAGATAAATGTTATGCGTAGAGAAATATCTAGTAAACCCTATAAATTTCATTTATTTTCAATAACTATTGCTCGAGACAAAAATGTTCGGGTGTTACTTTCTAAGCAATCCTTGTGTGCTTGCACATTCATTCTCAATCATATCCTTTGATTATTTACCCCTCCATTCGTATTCTAACCCCCCATCCTCATTCCACACCACCCACCCACTGCCAAGACACTCACAGAACAGTCTTGAGTTTCAGGTGCTTTTTGTTCAGCAGGCACAACCTCGATTATACTGGCTGCCACGTCCTCTTTCGACACCACCTGCAAAGTTTCATTTTTCATATTGTACCTGGCATGGTGTGGTAGCACGCTAAACCTTGTCACACATTCGATTTACTAATAGGAGCTCTAGCTCGGACTTACAATAGAGTCTTCGCAGAGGTTGTCTGCTTCATTGTGCTTCCCACACTCAGATGGCGTCTCTGGATCATCCTGAGAAAAAAAAATTGACAATTTGAATCACTGTTGAAATGTAATGTGGGCATGCAGAATTAATACAAGTTAATTAATTAGGTAGCAAAAAGAGACAAGGCCAAAACTGCCGCCTTTTTTTAATCTCATTCTATGATTAATTTAATTGAACAATACTTCGTGAGGAAGTCAAGCGATTCGTGCAGTCGAGCTGGCACATAACGCATACTTCTCTATTTTTACTATCGCACTACTCAAAGCCGAGAACCAAAAAAAAAAAAGAAAAAAAAAATGTATGCAAATGAGTTTTTATAAGAAATTTGAAATTGTTGCATCGTGGACGTCACCCCCCCCCCCCCCCCCTCCCCCCTCCCCCTCTAATCCGAGCTCTCTTCTTTCCGATCGGTGGCTGTTTTCCCTCTTCCTCGCTCAAGCGTTTGAAACTTGAACACGCATCAAGAGGCTCTGCAATCGGTCCCCTTGCCGGGCGCCCGGCTGCCTTGTGGCTTCGGAAACTTCTGTGCAAGGGAAGGCTTCTGACAGATGTGAACTTGATGCTTGGTGAAACCAGCGGACGAGATCTGCCACAATTTCGCATTACGCATGTTGTACTGTTCACGGGCGCGATCGGAGCCATCGTGTGAGTCACAACTAACTAAAAAAAAAATATATATATATATATATATCACAGAACTGCTCACCAGTCTGCGCCTTTTGCACGCTGGTGCTGGTGCGAGATCCAGTTGAAGGGTCGGAACTGAGCCCTCGTCGAGGCGTTTCTTCTTTCTCTCGAACCCCAGATTCTTCGAAATCTCCCACGACGTGAAGGACTGCGCGGAGAAGTGCTCGGAACACACACGATCAAGCTGATGTAGTAGCTTCGAGTCAGCGCGCAGTCGAAGGGCTTCCAGCCAGCGACTTCGCACTGGATCCTTGCCAGGTAGACGGTGAAAGGAAACACCCGCATCCCGGTGCGTGCGGGTGCAACCGCGCACGAGACACTTCATCGGAGCCGACAACCTAAAGTGATCGTTTCACCATAGGTGCATTACGGTTAATCGTTTGCACCGTCCCGTCGCCGCACTTCACTCGAACAGTGAGAAGTCTTTCACAGCACTAAAAGAAAAGTAGGGTTCCCCTGGCTCCTCTTACTGCTTTTAGTTGACCGGGCGCACAAGTGAAAATACGATGCGCGTTGTCTGCACTGCACGGATCACTTGTCGTCAGTTCACGGCGGTACGTCGCGGACGCCGCTGGGAGGCGCGCATGAGCGACGAGGCGTGCGAGGCGCAGACGAGGCGTTGTTTTCACCCTTTTTGAACTTTAATTTGAAACTTTATAAGCTCTATAAAAACGACTTGTTAAAGCTTCAAAATTTCTGGCACGGCTTTCGCCAATCACGAAACCCAGTGAATGTGAGCACCGTTATGCGCGAGCATTCGGCACCTCGCGACGCCACCGTCGGAAGGAGTGTTTCGGAGTTGTCAAATTAAAATATGATGCGCTAATATTTTTAAACTCTTTCGTTGTCCACTGGGTTTCCGGGACCACTAGCGTGTAGAAACCGCAAAAAAAAAGTCGACGCTCAAATACTGTTGGAGGGCCCCTTTAAACAAGCATCGACATATCAAGGGGCTTTCTGGATGTTTGCAGCATATGGTTTGCAGTACATTGTAAATAAACACTTTCTGCCACCAGCAGTCCGCTTAGTAAAAATCAATGCTTTTTTGAGGAATTTAGCATTTTTTTTACAATTGTCTCTGCAGTTGATATTGTCAGCTTTATGCTGCTTATGCTGGCAACAAAATGCAGCTGTCAAGTACCAATTTTTACGTTTAGGAATGAAAGGAATGGAATGGAACGATTCAGCCATTCCAGGAGTGGGAATGGACCCAGTGTCTCCATTCCTAGGAATTGAATTATCAAAAACTCTAATTCACCGGAATGGAATTGGAATGGAATGAGGGTGCCCATTCCGCAACACTGCAAGACACCAAGAAGGGAAAATCAACGCTGAGAAGCGGGGATCCACGACAAATGGAGGTGGACTTGCGAAGGTTGCAGGAACAACAACTGGAGCCGGAGAAAGTAAACAATGGTCAAAACGCGGGAAACGAAGTGATCCTCCCGCCTCTTATCAAATGTAGCACGTGACATCACACATAATAATTATCACAAAAGGCATTAAATATATCTAATATGACTTCATTTCTACTAATTTAAAATTTATATAAATAAACCTAACAAAATAATTAACTCAATTTAAATAGACACGTAACTTTTTCTTAATAGCCAATCAGAATTCTGGGTCTACCGAACGCTGGGCGTTGCATCGACCGGGTCGATGCAACGCCCAGCGTCGTACATGTGTTTCGCGCCCGGACTGCCGGAATGACCTTGGGGGGCGAGGGGGTTCCGTAGCATCGGAGAGCGTTGGAAACCCTCGCCTCCGACCGTCGTATGGCGCGGTCGGACGTCGGATCGGACGGTTTGGTCGTACGTGTGTTTATACTCCAACGTCGACGAACGCAACGGGCGCCGGCGCAGACCGACGTTCGTCGGCCACTACGTTGCGCCGAAAAGCGCCCGGACGATGGTGTTTACAGTCCAGCGCAGACCAACGCTGGTCCAGCGCGCCCCGACGAACTGCCCCACTTTACGCATGCGCGTCTCCGAGGCAGCCGCATCGTCTCTACGCACACAATGGGCGGTAGCTTGCGCCATATCTAGTCTAGAGGCAATCGGTCAGTGTGGTTCGTCCTCGTGTTGTCATGTCACGCTTCAAAACAACCATCGGGGTAGCGGTTAGCAGTTCAAAAACAAGCAAATGATGGTGATAACGAGTGAAAACCAGCATTTATTTTCTCCTAAATGCCACACAAATCTCAACGAAAAAACAAACAAAAAAAAAAGAAAAAGCCCGATAACGTTTGAATTTAGCTGCTTGCAGGTTCACCGGAATCCTGCCAAGCGACTCCGGCCATTTCGCCGGAATGCATCAACGAAATCTATGCACTCGATATTCCACAGAAACCTCTTTCTGACCGGTAGCCGGTATGTTATCATCATAGTAGACTTTCAGGCGAAACGGACACCGAAGAAAGCGGACGATGCCTAAATTACGCAATGTACGCGTTCGAAATTGTAACGCACTTTACAAAGCCTATACAAACAATAAAGGATTCAGTCGAATTGTAATTGCGTATCGCTACTATCGTTTACAAGCTGAGACCATTTACAAGCTGGGACAGCCCAATTGAAAATTTACACGATCTTTTTTGCCGCAAAAATAAACTAGGCACCGCCGAACGCTCATTCTCCGCCCAAAGGTAGAGCTAGAGGTCACAACCAGATGCCAAAGTTTCAGCCCGATCCGATAACTTAATCAAAAGTTATAACTGATTTTCTGAAAATTTCAATGGGAAAATGGCGGCCGACGGAGTTTTCAAACACATCAGGCTCTATGGCACCAGAAACTGAAAACTATCAAAAATGGGCTTCATTTTCCCATTGAAATTTTCAGAAAATCACTTATACGCCTCGCAAGTGGGCTCATTTTCGTCTTCTGCGCTGAGAAAGGAAGTAGCGGTGACGTCAGAACGCCGAACCCTGATTGGCTGATCGCGACCCCCTATCTGAGCGTCGTCTGCTCCTTTGCAACGTCGTCTGCGTCTTCTTACCTTTCCTGCGACTTTCGGAAGTGCAGGTCTTTACGAGCGAGCTCGACTTCGCCTTTCAGAGAGGGCAGACGAAATAAATCGAGCGGTACGTTGTTGATGTCTAACAACTAGCAGACGCGCATCGAGGAGGGAAGTCAAAGGACTCACTGGCGAGGTGTCCTGAGGCGCCGAGGTTTGTTTGCTAAGAACCCTCCCAAATACTTTTTCCCTTCCTTCGTGTGCGGCGAGACCCCTCATTCTTTAACGGCGTCGGCGGGTTGGCGCAGTTAACGCCGTCTGTTTTACGTCTGCTAGTCAAAGCGATGGCTCCTTTACCTTTCCTGCGTCTGTCGGAGATTCACCACTTTTTCACCGGCGAGAGTCACCGTTGCCTCGGGAGACAAGGAGATAACAAGAGGAAGAAATTGACCTCTTAATCTAAAACTGAGGTCAGCGATCAAAGTATAATATGGGAAGGGTTCACAAGGGTCGCGCGGGCATATTCCATTCAGCACACCAGCCGGTCGTGGGCAGACGGTCGCCGAGTGCCTGCTAGGCCTAAAGCGCGAAACACATGTACGACGAAACCGTCCGATCCGACGTCCGATCAGCCAATACGACGGTCGGAGGCGAGGATCTTCAACGCTCTGCGGTGCTACGAAAACCCTCGCCCCCCAAGGTCATTCCGGCAGTCCGGCAGTCCGCACGGTTTCGTCGTACATATGTTTCGCGCTTAAAGGCCGGCCCGCAAGCAGAGAGAAGGAACCCGACCCTCACTTTCCTTCTCGCCACTGGGAAAGGAGGAAATCGCCTCTCGTTTCCTCCTCGCAATTTTCCGATTCTTCTTCTTTTTTTTTTTTTTTGCTATCAAAGATTATCCAGAAGCCAGCCGACACACCTGCGACGAGGAGCTGAACCAACCGAGTAGCTGTTTTGAGCGAGCTTGGCACTTGCTCTGCCCAACGAGTTGCATTGGCTCTTTTTTAGCATTGGGTTGGAGGACGATTCTTGCTGTTGTGAGAGCACAAATACCTTGTTCTGCTCAAAGAAGTAGTCATTGAAGTATCAATTTTAATATAAATATCTGATTTGGCATCTTTTGTTGTTTAGGCGGATTCATGGCGACAACGGGAAGTACGAGCGGCGTTTTCTGTATATCAGGGATGGCGCTCGATCCATAGACCAGTGGTTCTGAATCATCATGGTTCGTAAACCGGCAGAGGTGACGGAGGATCCCATCCGCAGTGGGTCTAGCACTTTTCGCTGTAGAGCGTTTTGCTGTAGGGCATTTCGGTGCGGACTTTTTGGTGCACAGACATTTCAGTGTACGGACTTTTTGCTGCAAAGACTTTTCGGTGTGGGACTTTTCGGTGAGCGGATATTTCGGTGCACGGACATTTTGATGCATGGACACTCGACGCTATGGTTTGCTCGCCAGTATCTCTTTTCCAACGTACGCAGACACGCTTCACATTGTGTTTGCGCGTTGAGTTGATAGAAATAGTCTCCTCTATAGGGTGTTGACTTTATTATTGGTCCTGCGTGTAGGAAACGACCCAAACAGCAAGACGTTTGAAGTTGTTTGTGTATTCAGAACAATTTTGAATATCTTCAAATGCGCCTCCTCCGCGTAATCGCATAGCTCCAATTGTTAATAATAAATTGTGATGACCTCGCACGACAAAAAAACAAACAAACAAAAAAAACAATGTAATTATTACTTGTAACTCATTAGGGAATAAAGTAGGCGTGTGCGGGTACAAAATAAGTGTAATCAAATCAAATATCGATTTGAATCAGGTAAACAAGCCGAATTTGGTGAATGCTAAATCTATTTTATCTGGTATCAAATGTTTGCTCATTCTCGTTCGAAAAAAAAAAAAAAACAGTGACCACAGATCATACACAGAGTATGATCTGTGGTCAACGTCTCCTTCCATGCCGTAATGATGTCGCCGGACGTAAAGAACTGCCTTACAATCGTGCTTATACAGGGCGAGTTTTTTTAACTAGACATTTTTCTAAAAAAGACGTCAGAGTTACGCAATTGCGGTTTGTGCCTTATTTATAGTCATCAAAAACACCAAATCATTCATTTTTAAAGAGATGTAGTGGACGTGAAGTGGCTCACGGCGTCCTAAAAAGCCTAATTTGGACGCGAATCGTGTTACCCACACTAGACATAGAGATCAGTGGTGTTACCGCAATCTTTTCGGCCACCGCACTCCTCGCCCCTTCTACAGTGGCGTTGTCACAGCGATGCGCATGATTTGTCGCTTTAGCTTCATGGCGTTAGGCTGTGCCACGCGGAGATGGAGCCCACATAAAATCAGAACTATATTTTCGCGCCCAAATTAGGAGGACGCAGTATAATACGCGTTGCATCTTTTTAAGAATGGACGGTTTGGTGGCTTGCGATTATGGCCAACAACTTTCTAAATACAAGATGCCGTTTTCT